CTCGAATTCTTGAGATGCATTAACATCTGCATTCACACACTCACTTAAAGTGTTTCTGGGAAAAGAAACACAAGATATCAATCTGTCTGCGCTGTCATTGCTCTATCGAAACGTGAACATTCCTGCCCTTTGGGACACAAAGCGAGCATCCTTCAAGAGACTAGAGAGAGATTTTTCTAGCTGCTGACTTTGGCCGGTGGTTTCCAGGTGCTGAGGCCCGGGTCGGGGGACGCGGAGGCATGCAGTTGTTCTTGCTGCCTGACTGGACAAACGCAAGAGTCCGGAGCCATGTCAAACACAACAGACCCCTACAGTCGAGCCCCTGCCATCCGGTTGCCGTGGGAGCGTCTGGAATCCGTCTGATTGGCTACGCCGTGACTCCCGAAGCACGCTGTGCCCGGAATGTCGCTCATCGCCTACACAAAAATGTTCCTGAAAACACACAAAACCACCAGACCAAACTGGTGCATGCACAGCGATCCCAAAAAAAGTATCTGCACACTTAAAAACACTTCATTTCAAAATTAAGGGTATGAACTTACAGTTTTTTCCAACTGCTTACACACAAAATCTTCACTTGCCACACAATTTTTGAAAGCAGAAGCACACACCAAATCTGCAAAACCATACACTAATTCTCAGCCTTTAGACTCATTTCATAAAACACGTTTTGCAAAACACAGCACACAATTCTCTATGTAACACATCAAAATCTAACAGGAATTAATATTATGGAAAAGTTTGTAATATTTTGAATGCAATGCTTCGTATTGCAAGAGATGCAAGGCATTTTGCATTTTCTGTGTGCAATTCATGCATTGTGTGTAAAGTTTTGAAAAAAAAAGAGGCAAAGTTTTGAAAATGTGTGTAAGCAGTTGAAAAAAACTGTAAAAGAGTGTGAGTGTGTTTCCATATTTAAACTGTTTAATATAAGCAACGTGTGCTTGGATCAAGTAGCTAATGCATACTTTCCATTTCATTAACATCTGAATAATCTGGAAAGAAACGCTTTCATCATCCCAGAAATACGGCACAATTTCTCCTTCTGACTGAAAGCCGTAAAAACAGCTGGAAGTGCTTATGATTTTAATTTGGTTAAGTGCAACTATTCAATTTGGCCACAAGTATGAAGATCTGACCTGGAATGAAGTCATGCGTTCAGTTTGCGTCTCTGCACAGCCGCAGGGTGGAGGATCTCAGCATTTGACGAGCGATATGTTCAGAATAGCATGCTATTTTTGTAGTATACTGTATACAGTTTGTGAATATTACACATGCATGGAATACTTGGATGATATGCACTCGCCAAAATGTTTAGCACATGATCGCAGCATACTGCATCCCACAATGCAAAGCATTTGATCTGATTTTCTCACTTTTAATTGCATTAAAAATGCAAAATAATGGACGTCAAGTGCATTAAACATATATTACTGTATAAGAGTTAAATATTGTTCTATATAATCACATACTATTAGAGTAAACAGTACGCTAGCAATTCACTCTGAATATAATGCACACTTACACTATACTGTTCAAACGTTTGCGGTCAGTAAGATTATGTATTGTTTTAGAAAGAAGTCTCTTCTGCTCACCAAGACTGCATTTATATGATCAAAAATACATTAAAAAGTGTGAAATATTATTACAATTTAAAATAACTGTTTTCTATGTGAATATCTATTCAAATGTAATTTATTTCTGTGATGCTCAGCTGTATTTTCAGCATCATTCCTCCAGTCTTCAGTGTCACATGATCTTCAGAAATCATTCTCATATGCTGATCTGCTGCTCAAGAAACATTTCTGATTATTATCAATGTTGAAAACAGTTGCTACATATTTTGATACATTTTCTTCCAGGGTTCTTTGAGAAATAGGAAATTCAAAAGAACAGCATTTATCTGAAATATAATCTTTTGTAACATTATAAAAGTCTTTACTGTCACTTTTGATCAATTTAATAATTAAAGTATTATTTTCTGACCCCAAACTTTTGAACATTAGTAAATGTTCTTGTGTTTAACATTCAACAAATAGACGTTTGACATGAAAATTATATTTGTAGTATATTAAATATGAAACATTCTTATTGGCTGTGATTTTGTCAAGCATGCAGCATTTACATTTTTTTTTTACAACAGAACAGAAGCATGACTTAACACTGGAAGCATGTCATGTCACGTCTGGTTTGGACACGGTGTTAACATGTGGAATCAGAAGGATTCTGTTAATTTTCGTCTTTAAATCAGGCGAGAGATTGCAGAAGTTTCACAATGATTCTGCACAGAAAGGATCCTTCACTGATCCTTCCTTCTCAGCTAGACAAGAACTCAAACCCACATATTCTCCCATGAATGATGAATTTTATAGCCAGTAAATTTAGAGCAGCTGAAGGTCACAAACCTTCATGCTTGATTTGTTTGATTCAAATGTCCCAGGAGAAAATCCTCCCACTCTCAACAAGAACGACAGACAGAAAGACAGAATAGTGTCAGAGAAATCAACACAACAGGCCCAGTAAACCTGATCAGACATTAAATGTGTGTGTCTGAGAGATTATTTTCCACATCCACAGTATGATCCAGTACGAACGAATCAAGGAGGACTGAATGCCTCAGTGGTGAAGCAGACGTAATGGCTGATGTGTGAGGAAAGCTGAAGGAGGCAGAACCAAACCCATAAAAAAACTCACTAAGCAGAAGAGAGTAAATCCCTGAGATAGAAACCATTGTAAGAGTCTGGTGTGTGTGAGAGTGTGTGTGTGTTACTATTTTAAAATAATTAATTTATTTATTTATTTATTGCACTTTCATTTTAGTTAATGTTTAAGTAACTGTGTTTTTATTAGTTTTTTAACTATTTTAACTACAATTTTTTAAATATGTCTATAGTTTTTATAAATTTTATTTATTAGTTTGAGTTATTTAAAGACTTTAAGTTACATTAAACTAAACCAATGTTAACAAATACAACTTTTGATTGTAATAATGTATTAGTAAACATTAAACATAACATTAACTACGATTAATAAAGGCTTGTTCATGTGAGTATTAATAAATGCTTGTTCAATAAAGTGTTGCTCATGTTAACTAATATAGTTAACTAATGCTAACAGATGAAACCTTATTGTAAAGTGTTACCTAATTATTTAAGTATAGATTTTGTTCCTCTTTTCCAAGTTGCTTTGGATAAAAGTGTCTGCTAAATGCATAAATGTACATTATTAATGTAAATGTAATTATTAATTATAATTATTCTTCTAACCTTATTGCCAAATTGTTTTCTTTTTTGTTTCATAAACCTAACCAAAATTATGTAAGCCTTGTACATAAACGTATATTTAAAACAATATAAAATGTGTAAATATTTTGTCTGAAAAACAAAACAGAAATATTAGGAAAAATATTTTTGAAGCACACAGCCTAATGTGCATCATTTGCTCTTCATTTTCTTGTGCTATAGTGCTAAAAAAAAGCTTTCTGTGATTGTAGTATTAAACAAAAAGCAATATGAAACTGTCAAAACATCCAGTCCAAAAATCTCTGAAGGCACATCTCATCGTAATTATGAATTCTGAACTCATAAGTAGGACCTAAGAGCATCATTACAAGCAAACCCTGTTCACTCCTGCATCATTGGCGCTTAAGAGCCTTCTTAAAAGGGCTAAAATGCTGATATGGCATTACGGGGATCTCACACACACGTGCAGGCTCATAAAAAACTATACAGCCTATCTTCCATTATGGACTCCATCAAGCCTTTTAAAGATGTGCATTAATGTAATTATCTTTCACTGATATACTCATGCTCAGTTTTAGTTCCAAACACTTGTGCGTAGTTATTAAAGTCTGATGGTTTCCCATCTGAACACTTCATGTCAGAAGGGTTGCTGACCCATGCACTAAGAGAAAGAGAGTGGAAACAGTGTGCAAACTAAAAAAGGAAAGCTGGTCAACGCCAGCTCTACACTCTTACAAATAAAGGTTCTTTACTGGCATCAATGGTTCTATGAACAACTTTGAACATCCATGGAACCTTTCAAATGCAGAAAAGGTTCTTTATAGTTGAAAAAGATTCTTTAGGTTTTTAAAATGTTCTTCAAAATGGTTCTTTTAGGAACTGTTCACTGAAAGGTTCCTTTGAGAACCAAAAATGGTTCTTCTATGGCATCACTGCAAAAACACCCTTTTGGAACCTTTATTTTTAAGAGTGTAATGCTGTAAAAGGCTTGAAGTGAACGAGTGGGTGAAGCTCCAAAATGTCAAAAATACCATAAAAATATCATATAAGTGGTTAATATGATTCTATATTCAAAGTCTGATAGATTTTTTGCTAATATTTAGAATGAGATTTTTTTTCATATTTTTTCATTAAATAGGTATAGATAGTTTTTATTTATTATTTGTAGTTATTTTAGTACTTCAAGTTCAACTAAACAAAAATGAGAATAGTTGCTTTGGCAACTACTATAGCTATACTCAAATCAGTTTTTATTATTTATTATTAACTATATATATATTATATTTTATTTCACTTAACGTTTTTTTCCCGCATCAAGTAACACAAATATGAAATATTTAATTAAATATGTAGTTTTTATTCTTTCTTTTTTTCAGATTTTTTTTATTATGATTTTTTTAGTTATTTTAGTACTTCAAGTTAAAGTAAGCTACAACGAAAAAAAGAAGAACTATTTGTTCATGATTCAGACGTTCAGGACCGTTACAGTAGGTTTGATCCTTCATGATTTCCAGCCCATAATGAGTTAAAATTTGGGTCTGTTCCTCAAACTAATGTAATGTGTGACTTCAGAAGAGAAACATGCAAGCTTTTTTTTCATTCCAGAGCTTGACAGCCCACTGTTATTATATGTAAAAGAATGATCAGGATTATTAACATAAACATTCACCTTTTGTGTTCCAAGAACCAAAACCAGTAAAAAAAAAAAAAATTTTGGCTGAACTATTCCTTAAAGTCAAACAACCGGCTCTGTCTTACCTTCCAGAATGACCTCCTTGCCAGTTTTCTTCAAGGCCTGAACAGCCTCGTCATGAGTGGCCTCTCTGAGGTCGTAGCTGTTCACGGACAGAATCGCATCGCCCACGTAAAGAGCCTCCGTCTGGTCCGCCGCAAGTCCTTTGAAGATCTTTGAGATCAGGATGGGCATCTTATTCTCCTTACCACCTGTTAACACAAAATGCATTTGCACATGTGTTAAATGGCATTACATTACACACTAAGCTAACTGAAAACACAAAGATGAATGTTTAAATTGACCATCATATGTGACCCTGGACCACAAAACAAGTCATAAGGGTCCATTTTTCAAAATTGAGATTTATACATAATCTGAAAGCTGAATAAATAAGCTTTCCATTGATGCATTTGTTAGGACAGGACAATATTTGGATAAAATCTGGAATCTGAGGGTGCAAAAAAAATCAAAATATTAAGAAAATCGCCTTTAAAGTTGTCCAAATTAAGTTCTTAGCAATGCATATTACTAATCAAGAATTAAGTTTTAATATATTTACGGTAGGAAATTGACAAAAAATCTTCATGGAACATGATCTTTAATTAACATCCTAATGATTTTTGGCATAAAAGAAAAATTTATAATTTTGACCCATACAATGTATTTTTTGGCTATTGCTACAAACATACCCCAGCGACTTCAGACTGCTTTTGTGCTCCAGGGTCACATATAATGAAAAAACGATGCGATGTGCAATTTAAAAGATATATTTGATAAGTTATTTTGTTTGTCGATACATTTCTGTACCAAGTTTTTACTTTTACACATACTACCTCTCCTAATGCAGTACGAAAGCCTCTGCTGACTAACCGGTCTTTTTTAAATCATGTGATTCAAAGAAGAACAATCTGTGGTGAAGCAGATTGTGAAGAAGCCTGCAAACACACAGATAGTACGGCGGTGACGTCACATCCTTCAAAGTTCAGCATTAAAACAGAGGGAACTACTCAAATAGCCTCTTCCTCTAAAACTGTTCTAGTGCTCTGGTACAGGTGCATCTCAATAAATTAGAATGTTGTGGAAAAGTTCA